CTACCCAGGGCAAAGAAATTGAGGCCTTGCCAGAAACAGCTCAAATTGTAGAGGCAAACTAGGGCAGTACAGGAAACCAGCATAGCTGTTGAATTGCTTTCATTCCCAAGCCAGGCACTCTCTCCTTTGCCTTCTTCTCAGAAAAAAACAAAGCCTTCCAACAACAACAACAACAACAACAACAACAAAATCAGAATTGAAATGCAGAATAACTGCACACCACAAAAACAGCAGAATAAGATTGCCAGAGTTGAAGCTTGTTCAAGGAAACAGCTAGCATGAGAATGAAAAGATGCCAATAATTCACACACCCATACCCACTCAGTGACTGCAAGGGGATGCTGTGGCAAGAGAACAACACTGGCTGCTTTAACAATGTTGTTTCTTCTATGTCTGATGCCACACACCGGCAAGTAAATCATAGGACAATCAGAAAATGGAAAGGGGAGAAAGAAACTACTTCAGGAGAATAACTTCAGCTTAAAGTAATTTAAATGCAGAAAAAGGGTGAAAAAACACATTCCTTTATGACAGCAGGAATGACAAGAGAAGTTAAGTGTAAACACCATGATGAAGCCAGGCTTTAAACACACACACACACCACACACACACACACACACACCCTCCTCCTCCTCCTCCTCCTCCTCCTCCTCCTCCTCCTCCTCCTCCTCCTCCTCCTCCTCCTCAGGTGTCAAGGGAAATACAAAATTCTGGCTCTTGCTCTTCTAATAGCCTCAACCATTGTTATTTGTTGTAATGTGTCTTTGATGTTATCTCTCCATCTTCTTCTGGGTTTGCCTCATGTTCTTTGGCCTTTTCCTCTTTTTGTATATGTCTTGTATGGTATGGAATCCCACAACATCCTCTCCAGGTGAGCAAACCATTTTATTTGCTGTTTTGGTATGTATTTAAGATTGGTTGTATGCCAATTTACACACACACACACACCACCACCACCACCACAAAATTAGATTGTGTGAATTTTGGAAGGGAAGCAGCACTAATTCTCCCCCCCCCCGTTTTAAGGCACTCGGCTGATGTCATAAACCAATTTTATAACTGATTAGACATTCTTACATAAGAAGTAAAACAGAATTTAGAGGTAAAAGAGCAGGAAAAACTCCCTCCTATTTTATGTTTCATGGAAGTTAATTGCAGGAAAGGAAAGGTTTTCTAATATTCTTAAAAGTATGCAAAAACCAATAATAGACGAGAATATTGGTAGCTCAGGTTTGAACTATGGGGTCCTTGGTGGTCCCTCAGCTTGGTGATTTTCTTGCAGACATTTCATTACTCAACTAGGTAACATCAACAGTGCAACACAGACGATGTTACCTAGCTGGGTAATGCAATATTTGCAAGAAAATCACCAAGCTCAACGACCACCACAAATCCCACAGTGTGCAAAGAATTTGATCACTGTAAATTCTACCAGAGCAGAATCAGGCTTGTACTGTTCAGACTAAAACACTGTCTTGCTCAGCCCCACTCATCTCACAAGATTGTTGTAGAGCAGTGGTTCTCAACCTGTGGGTCGGGACCCCATTTGGGGTCGAACGACCATTTCACGGGGGTCGCCAAACAAGGCTGTCCGCCATTTTTTCCCCTTTTCTTTGGCCATGCCCCTGGCACCCGGTGATGTATAAGTAGTTGGGGGTCACCACAACATGGGGAACTATATTATGGGGTCGCAGCATTAGAAAGGTTGAGAACCACTGTTGTAGAGGAAAATGCATTTTGGACATCATGAGTTTTGTAAAATAAAGACCATATATAACTCTAATGAATACTGGAAATGTATGAATATATTGTGGGATAGAGGCCCCAACCACTTCAAGCCATTCATCACATTTGGGACTTTGAGGCTGTCCTGTGGAGGTATAAGAGCAAAAAAAAAAAAAAAAAAAAAAAAGAGAGAGAGAGAGAAAAGAAAAGAAAAAAAAGAAAGCAAATTTCCTTCTAAGCATCCCTTTGAAATATGCAAAATGGAACAGTTTTGATGAATATGAAAGAGTCATCTGTGGTGAGATAAGAGGCAAATAAATTTAATACATAATAATAAAATAATAATACAAAAGCTTTCTGAACTTAGAACATTTGTCAGCTGGAAGGTTTTATTATGCATTATTAAAATTTTTGCTCATTCCTTTACCTGGAGAATATAGCAACTCATGTTTTGTCCTTTGGGCATTATCTTTATCAGTATTTGAGATCGAAGTCAGCAGTGTCTCATCCAACAGTTTTCATCTGACAATCATTTATTTTCCTCTGTTATGTATTTGGAAGCAACGCATCAACATTCTAATTGACATAATAGCAATTTTATGTTTGTTATTGATTAACACACTTTCAAAAGGTCAATAAGTATTTTAAGCACTTTGCTGATACAGTACACACTCCAATTATCCTGAAGCATTCATAATGATTTTGTTAAATGTCAATTAAATTCAAGCGTTGTTTCCTACCAGAATGACACTGATATGTAACGAAGTGTAGAACTTTGATACTTGATTGATTGCGTATTTTTTTCAGACAATTAGTCCACAGTTAAGTTGGCCTTGCATTGAAATGACAGGGCCTTGTGTTCAATTAAAGAATATAATTTAAAAGCAATGAATGAGTAATCACTAGGAACTAACTGGGTAAATTCTAATATGATAGCAATGTCATGGTCCCGACAGACAGAGACGAATAAAGCACAACTCTGAGGCTTGCAAATTCTTCAAAGAACATGTTTATTAGTTACAAAGTATAGGCACAGTTAAGAGTGAAACCAAGTCTGGATACACAAGTAACAATTTTCCAATACAAAGTTAAATGTCCCACCCATAAAACTATGCAGCAACTATGTTCCCAAATATGATTATTTGGTGGGCTTTTTATGCAACACCCAGTCTGCAGTCTTGGGAGCAGCTGATGATCTTGGTTCCCATGGGACAAAAGATTATTTTGACTAACAAAGCACCTGGGCAACCCCTCTCCTTCCGATCTATGTGACAACCTAGAATGAAAAGGAAAATGGCTGCAGCCATGCTCATTTGTAGAGTTGACAAGCAACTTTCACCATTAAGAACCATTCTACATAGAAACAAATAGGTTTTTTAAGCACCAGATTATTAGTTGATATAGTCTGATCTCACACAGAACATAACCACCAGGAAGATAGTCTGTCTTGCCAAATTTTAGAGATTTTAGGGTTGATACTGAGCTGTGGTGGAACAGTGATTAGAATACAGTTTTGCAGGCTAACTTTGCTCACTGCCAGGAGTTCAATTCTCATGACTCAAGCTTGACTCAGCCTTCCATCCTTCTGAGGTTGGTAAAATGAGGACCCAGATTGTTGGGGCCAATATGCAGACTCTGTAAACCCCTTAGAGAGGGCTGTAAAGCACTATAAAGCAGTATATAAGTCTGCGTGCTATTGCTATTGGTATTTTAAGCCTGCCCAAGTAAGTGATTATTTGATGCAAATCAACAATTTGAGATTTGAAGAGACCTTATTCAATTAGAGCTTGCAATTTGAAGGAAAATCAATTCTACTTGGGTTCCTATTGTTCTGACCCATATAGCTCTATGGCCCATATAGCTCTATGGCCCAGCTCTATGTTGGAGTGTCTGGCAGTTATTGGGTTAAATGCTAGGTATGTGGATGGTCAGTGGGAGGAGTTCCAAAGGTCTTTGGGAGACTTCCTGGACACAAGCCACATGGGAATCTCTTTGTCTGTAAGAAGCATGGGCCATGGAAGGTCTCTCTATAAGCATAAAGATGGTGTGAAGAGCAATAACACTTTCTTACCTAAAGGAAGGATCTAAAAGATGAACAAAGATGTATTTCCAGCAACAACAATCACAACATGAACGCAAGTAATCTTTCTCATTAAAATATATTTTGTTTATTATAAGATCATTTCTTTTGAGTTAACTATCTGACAGGATTTAAAAGAGATCACTTAAGTTTGTGTCAGAATACCTATAGAAATTACACTTCTTGATGAACCATAGCTTTCTCAGAGTTGTTGATTAACAAATGGCTTATTACCTTCCTCATTCATAAAAACACAAATCAATTGGTTAGAATAATTATTAAGAGATGGGCATCTTGTATCAAAATAACATGTCTGCATTCCATGTTTGAATATGGTTAAAGAAATAAAAAGATTTTGGATATAAATGAATCTTAGTTTAAGAGGGATGAGCCCCTCAAGTAATATAGTATTTTCTCTTTCTTTTTTCTTTTGTTTTTTGACATAAGAAATATAAAAATGTTGGGATGGTTTATATAAAGGAAATGTTTTAAATACGTAAGTATAATTGATCTTGAGAAAACTTCAGTTGATAAAAATGCTTTGAATAGATCTAAAAGATTAGATAATTGGATTTATTAAATGGAACATTTAAAGATTAAACATATGTTTGAATATGGTTAAAAAGAAAAATTCTGGATATAAATGTATATTAGCCTAAGAGGGACATGTATTTTAAGTAGTATACTATCTTCTTATTTCTTTTTCTTCTCTCTTTCTCTCTCTCTTTTTAAGACATGAGAAATATAAAAGTGTTGGCATGGTCTGTATGAGGAAAAAGACTTAAATACTTAAGTGTCATTAACTTTGAGAAAATCTTAACTGGTAAGAATGTTTTGAACATTGTGGGGGAAACAAATTTAAATAAGAATTTTGTAAACAGGATCTATGACAAGGTAATCAAGATGATCAGTTAGAAAAGAAGCTTTATATTGATGTGGTTATTCTTTGAAGAATTATTAGAAAAATGTCTATATTTTATTGTTATTTATCAAAATAATAAGAATTGTATTAATTCAAAGATGGCAAAAGAGAACATTATTGGAAGAAGAGAAAATCAAGCAAAGCTACTATGTGGACTATAGAATTATAGAAACTAATTGTTATTGACTGTTTTTAAAATATAAACCCAGACAACACACTGTTTACCAAATATTAAGATGATTATATTAAAAAAAATCAATAAAATATTTTTTTAAAAAAAAAACATGTCTGCATTCTAAACCAGGAGGCTATTTATTTTAAATATTCTCCTATTATCTCTTCCTTTTATGAATTGTAAAACACAAACTATTCCAGCATTCTTCAAACATTTCTATTAAATGTTTCAAAACGAGGCCTCAACATTTTGGGATGTGCAACTTTTCCCCACAAAGTTATTAAATAAAGATTAAAAAATGGTAATCACAAACCTGCCTATTTTCCATATCTTTCCACAAGGATGAAAAAAATAATAAGGACAACAACTTTTTATACAGCAGTCAATATGTTACTCTTCAAAGTGATTTGTTTTAAATTAGTTTTTTTAAAACAAGTCTTCTGCTTTTTGTGTATCAAAGTGTTGACTCTTCAGTTGGCCAAGTTGCAATTTCAGGCCACGCTCCTTTATTTCTTATATTAAAACTTAAAAATTACTTCAAATAGTGTCTTAATAGTTCATTAATAATAAATCTCTCTTTTGTGGCATATAGTCTAAAGGAAATGGAGTGGGGTTTTTTTTCTTTGAAATGGGCAAGGGTTCTATCAATAAATTTACACTATAGGACACATTTAAAGAATGTATTTATGAATCCACAATCACTTTTGTTTTTTCCAAAGGGGGAAAAAAAAGACAGGTTTTAATTTTGTAGACATTGCAGAAATGGTTAAAGACTTGCTCTTGTTTTATGCCAAAAATCCTATCATAAAACATATCAAGTATTTATGATGAAAACATTTTAGAGTACTTAGTCCTATTAGCATTCATAGTGTTTGTGTCTTGTTTTTTTGGTTGCAGTACATTCTTCTCTTTTTTCCTTCAAAATTACCCCTGTAATAATTTTAGCTAGGATTGTTCAGATCATAACAGCTTTCTGTCTGAAAAAAAAAGAGAAACACTTGTTGTTAATTGCGAAGTCGTGTCCGACCCATCGCGACCCCAAGAACAACATTCCTCCAGGCCTTCCTGTCCTCTACCATCTTCTGGAGTCCATTTAAGCTCACGCCTACTGCTTCAGTGACTTTCCTGCCATCTGGTGGGTTTCTGGATTTTTGCAAACTGCTAGATAAATAGACAAATGATGTCATGAAGCTAACTTGTGGGTCTACTAGATGATGTTATAAAGACTGAGACGTGTCTTGGAAGGAACAATATCTTACTAAAACACAAAAACTGCATTCCACACAGGTCTATTCAGAACAGTTTACTTAACATTACATTTCCTTTTAACATCATTTCTGAAACAGAAAGTTGCATAATGCAATTCTGATGATCTGGAAGTGGCCTGGGAAGCTTTCCTAGAAATCCCTTAGATGGGGCCTCCAATTTAGCCTCAAGTTTTATTTGAGCTGTCATTTAGGTGGCATCGTGATTTAGAAGTCAAGATACACAGAAAACTCTCTTGCACTCCAATAATTGTTCCTGTCATTTCAGTAACACCATTGGCTCCCAATGGCATTGCTCAGCTTTTTCTGCCAAAACATTAATTCTGACTCTGGATCTGTATTTCCTGAGTTGAGTGCTATCTCAGCTCAGAAGAATTGAACATTGCCCTTAAATTTGGTTTGGAAAAATGAGTTATACATTGACAGGACTCATCCCTCACTTTCTGCTGTTTAGCTTACTGCTTATATAATAGTTCAATATGAATAAATATGATTTGTGGTTGGCAAGATAGATTTGGTTTTCAGTTGAATGGCATGAATCAAAGTCCTTCTTATTTATTTCCGAGTTCTTGCATGTATGTGATTTTCAGCACTTTCAGCATCAGAAATTAGAAGAACTTTTGAAAAAACAAAACAAAAAACTGGCCTGCCAATCCATACACCTTCTTTCCACCTCCTATTTTCCAAGAGCAAAAATTATCCTTGTCCCTTTGGGATTGTGCAGAAATCTATGTAATGTCCATCCACTTTCTTTTTCAAGGATGCAGATAGGAGATCAGAGTGAAGAAATAGGCAAAGGGATGATGTGAATTTAGAAAGAGATAAAGTATAATTAAACTTATAACTGCTGTAAAAAAACATTGGGAACTGCTTCTTCATGTCTTTCTTTCTTTCTTTCTTTCTTTCTTTTCTATTCATCTTTTTTCTTTTCTTTTTTGTTTTTTTGCACTTCAAGTTTCTGTTTTATTTCTTCTTCATTTCTTGTTCCATTTTAGTTTGCATTAATTTTTATTCTTGCTTTTAAAATAATTAAATTAAGAAAATGTGACTATTGGTGGTTAGTAGCCTGTGACTGGATTGCATAATGAAAAGGACTATTTCGTGCTTTTGATAAAAGAACGGAAGGCGGCAGATGGTGTAGGTATGTGAACTTCCCAATACTCTATATTTTACAATGACAACAAAAAACAAATTGTCCTTCAACCTATCTAAAACACCACCTGAAACCTAGGAGATGATAGATGAGAGAGAGAGAGAGAGAGAGAGAGAGAGAGAGAGAGAGAGAGAGAGAGAGAGAGAGAGATGATAGTAGATTCTACAATCATTAACTATCTTAGATGGCACCATGCCCATACACTGTTTTCCAAACTGCTTTTTTGTTCTCACATCTTTTTCCAGTTCTCATTAACTCCACTAGGCCTTGATTTTCTCAGTCTTTCCCTCCCACTTAGTCTATTCATTCTTTCTTCAGATTTTTGTTTTGCAGTTTGAAGTCAAGCAGAGAAGGCTGTTTTTTTTTTTTTCCCAATGGGCAAGAAAGATTTGTGTCCCATTGTTTTCTGAAGGAGTTATCAAAAATACTTTAAAACTATCCCTATGGCCATTTTTTTCATGGGAAATAGCTGGCTGGTGGCAGTCAGCCATTCTACCTATTCCCAAAAACCCAAACTTAAAAAAAATGGAGACAAGGGGACAGAGAGTCCTCATTGTTTCCCAGGTTTGGAAGATTCATTTTTTTTAGTGTTCTTCTAAAAGAACATGAACACTTGAGCCTTTCAAAGTTTGTTTGACAGAATGTAGCCAACTCAAAATATTTGGGAATATCCAGATTTGGCTGTTTGTTCCAGACTTTGAGCATAACATGTTTTTTTTTTTTTTTATTTCCTGCATACTGCTAGTCATTCTCCTTCTTCCTTCTCAAATGTTATCTTGGCTGCTTTCAGCTGTTTAATTGCATCATTGTTCATGGGCCTGATGCTACATTTTTATATAACATCATTGTCAGTGGCTGAAGAATGATTTCCTCTGTCGAGATCAATTTTCACAAAGGAAAAACGGAATCAGAAGATTCATTTATTCTTTATAGAAAGACAACTTATCAGTGTTCAATATAATTGTTGGGCCATAAGCCCTAACCATATTAAAATGAATTATGCAGAGCGAAATATAAAATTCCTTCTTTAAAAAGTTAATCAAACACGAATTTCTCTATAATTTTTAAAACTGTGAAGAATAATTATTACTCTGGCAGAATTAGAGCTCAGGCTATTTCTTTGATTCATAGGGTTAAAACATAGAACATAGAATAACAGAATTTGAAGAGGTGTTGGAGGTCTTCTAGTCGAACTCCCTGCTCAAGCAGGAGACCCTAGAGCATTTCAGACAAAGACTGCCCAGTCTCTTTTTGAAAGCCCCCAGTGATGGAGTACTCACAACAAATGAAGGCAAGCTATTCCATTGGTTGATTGTTCTCACCATTGGGAAATTTCTCCTTAGTTCTATGTTGCTTCTCTCCTTGATTAGTTTCCAGCCATTGTTTCTTGTCTTGCCTTTTGGTCCTTTGGAAAATAGTTTGATCCTCTCGTCTTTGTAGGAGCCTCTCAAATATTGGAGCACTGCTATCATGTTACACATAGTCCTTCTTTTCATTAGACCAGACATACCCAATTCCTGTAACTGTTCTTTGTATGTTTTAGCCTCCAGCTAAATCCTTCCTTCCTTCCTTCCTTCCTTCCTTCCTTCCTTCCTTCCTTCCTTCCTTCCTTCCTTCCTTCCTTCCTTCTTTCTCTTTCTTTCTTTCTTTCTTTCTTCTTTCTACATTTATATATGGATATATACACAGTTATAAAGGATAAGACAAGATAGCACATAATGAAATCAAATCAATCAATGAATAAGATCCCCAAATTTAATAAGGAAAAAGAGTGTCCCTATATACATCAGCCTTTTCCAATCTGCTGTTTTCCAAATGTACTGAGATTAAAATTACCAACATTCTCAACCATCAATCATTCTGTCTAAAAGTTCAAGCCCCAACACATGAGGAGTGCTTAAAGACGGGGAAGCCTGAGCGATCTGAATCCATATATTAGTCTTGGAATAGGACAGCAGTATTCTTATTAGCATCCTGATATACAATATATCCACGCATTAAAAGACAGAATTACAGTTTTCATATTCTGTTATCAGTTCTGTTTCAGGACAAAAAGGATAAGGTTCCTGTTACCTATGTATTGTAAACTCCGTAAAGTATAAAATCATAATGCCATCTAACTTTCAGCAATAAATGCTTTATGCAGACTTCAAATTACATGTGAGTTAGTAAAATATTCCTTTTGGTTGATAATGTTATTCTGAAATAATGCATTTGACAAACAAAAAAGACCAACAGAGCATGGTATTTTACTTGCTGATTTGCTTCTTTCCACAGGGGCTTATCTACTCATTCCATTTATTCCTCCACTGCTCGATTTATAGGATTTCAGATATCTGCTTAGGCAGCTATTCTCTGGCAATTTTGTATAATTTTCTTCTATTCCTAAGCCCAACTGAAAAATCGATCCAACAACATTTGCCTCACTGTCGGCAGGCCTGCCTTGTTCAGGATGGCAACCTTGAAGCAGATCGTGATACGTGTAAACCTTTCTAACAGGTTAGTGGCAGAAGAGCCATAAAGACTATCTCCCCATATATTTCAGTTGGCATCCAATGTTTTCCACCGTACTTTTTTTTTTAAAAAAAGGGCATGTATATAATTGCATAATTCGAAATGAAACTGCAATCTCCTAGCGAAATCCATCACTGAATGCTTCTGTCCCAATAACTATTTGTTTTTCTAACTGTTGCTTTGAATTATGATGTTATTTTATCCTTATAGGTTGTGTTTCTTTTTCTTTCATACATCCCCATAATTATATCTTAAAAATTAGACTTCACCAAACCTGGTCATTTCAAGCAATTTCTCCCATCCCTTCCCAGCAACATGACTTGTTTGATTTCTAATAATGTTAAGATGTCATGATGCTTATGTCAGATGAGGAGAAAGGGGGTAGAACTGTGATTGGTTTTCAGACTCTAATTACTCTTTGTTGTCATCTTGTCATCCCAAAAAAGAAGATTTATTTATTTCATAAATACATGGGCATAAAAGTGAATGAATATAAAAGGAAGTCATTTCTAGGCTTCACCTATCTGATATTTTAATGTAAACATAGACATTACTCCTTTATTTAAGGGGCCAATATATCTGGTTCTCGTTCTGATTCTGATTCTGGTTCTATCTATCTATCTATCTATCTATCTATCTATCTATCTATCTATCTGTTACAGGTGTCAAACTGCCGGCCTATGGGCTGGATGCATCATGGCGAAACTGCACCCACCCCATTGCCGGCAATGGAAAAAAAGTCACGATACGTCGTGACACATCACGTGACTTTGCAAGTTTGACACCCTGATCTATCATCATTATCATTAAATATCTATCTACTGCCTACTACCTACTACCTACTATCATCATCATCATCATCATCATCCTCAATCATCACACAGTCAGCCAGATGTTCAGACTGGATTTGACATTTTTGTCTAAGAACTATCAAGTTCTTACCAAGGACCTGGGATAGGCAGATCTGGATGTTTGATGTTGTTACAAATATTGTTGCGGGATGGAAGCTGTTCCCAGTAAGGCCACCTTTTGCAATTGACTGATGGCAAATTTGTCAATGCCAATGGTGTTTAAATGGTACTGCAGTTGTTTTGAGTTTATTATTATTAACGTTACTATTATTATCTATCTATCTATCTATCTATCTATCTATCTATCTATCTATCTATCTATCTACCTATCTTGTATTGAAGGAAAAATTTAGAATCTGTTCATCAAGAAGTGTCCACAAGGGGTGGACCAAAAGAAGAATGAAGATGGTGGCCATAATTCTCTTTTTGTTTCTGCATGTGATATAGACACAGTTACAAAAAGTTGTGACTGCCATTTTGATTTTTTTTATTATATCCTGCCCTTCTTTCAGACATCTTTGTTTACATCATTCTTCTGCAGTCTTTCAAGGAGTTAGCCACACAGTTTTGAAAGTAACTTAAAATACTGTAACAACCAAACGCATGCTGTTAGTGTCAACAGCATTTACTGTTAGATAATTTACTGCATGACTGCACCTTTAATTAGATCTTCAGATTCCCCACTAAGACAAGATGCTGGATAGTAATCTATATCTCCACCAATGTATGAGATTTAGTTGTCTTGTAAATTTTGTGGAGGTGACTTGTCTGTGGACAGAAAGTGCTGCTGCTCCATGTTTGTGATGGGGTTAAAAAAAAATGCTATGCATCCTGTAAAAAAAAATATTTAGGAGTTTGCCCAGGTATCTACTCTGCTACTTTGCTATTAGTGGGCAGCATCCTACAACTGGCACCTGTCAAAGCTGTGGCCATACAGTAGTTCCTAAATCCTCAACCAGCACAGCCTCTATATATCTGGGATTTAGTCTTCTGGCTAGGCTACCAGGACTCAGACAACACTATATGATAATTTAGGATCACAATTGTATTTTGGTGGTCTTAGCAATAAGTACCATGTTGCATGGGAATACTTTCTCTGCATACCACTGGCATCATTCTGAAAGCAATTTTAGATGCAGACTACTTCAGTATGTTTCAAAAACATATTTATAATTCAGAAGTAATAACTCTGACACCCGCTGACATATATAGTGCCATAAAACACTTTTTTTTCCACTTTGAAAGTTAACAGTTTTCAAAACTGGAAACCAATTGACACATTTCTAATATTTCAAAGCCCAAACTGAATGTAGTTTGCATATCATATGTAGCAGCACTAATATGTTTCTGAGAAGTCAACAAAATAAACAATATTGTAGAGAAACAACATTTAAATGAAAAGGGGGAAATGCAAGACTATGCTCCCATAAGGTTACAGAGAAGCTATAATCTAATAGCTATTATAAATAGAAATCACTGAAGGTTTCTTAGGTTTTTTTGGGTAAAAAGAATGCTGTTAATCCTAAATCACTTTCCCAAAATTATGTGTTGTGAAAGTATATCAGAATAGATGTTTGATTTCTTTGCATTTGCTTCAGAATGTAACAGATTGCCAGATAAATTTAACTGCAATATCAGATCATGACCCATTTAAAGTTTCTTTTCAACTGGAGAATTAAATAATGGACACTTGGTATTGCTTTATGGCTAAATGGCAGAATTAAAGAAAACAAACACAAATAAATATTGAGTGTCAAACATATTTCAATTTGAATGACAGATCAACATCCTGTTGTGTTACTGGGTGGGAAGCATGCAAATATATATATGAAAGGACAAAAAACCCACACCCACAGATTGCAAATAAAAGAAAAAGAAGGAAATTATATAGGAAATAAAATCAGATAGAAAAGCTATCCTTTCATAGTTCATTTTCCAATTTATATGCTTTATAGTATAAAGCAAACACAGACATTCTGATCTTCATCAGAATATATTTGTGAGGATGTGTCATGTTGGCTGGGAAAAGGCTGGCTAGCAAAGAAAACATAATATCCCTATTATTGTATAATTTCATAAGGCTCTGCCCTTTCTTTTACAGATTGTCTACTTCCAAAGCCACAGGACACACAGTATTGACATATCTGCCAATTTTGAAAGGATTTATACAATATTTTCCCAACTTTCCTATTAAAGACAATGAAGATGTAAGGAATGCCACTTCCTTTCTTTATTATGGGGAAGAAGCTTTTGCTTTCTCTTCACAGTAAAGCAAGCCACGGGGTTCCTGCTGAGTTTCACATATGTATCCCAGCAAATCCAATGGAGAAGATTTTGAGTTGCTCAAACTGCTCTGAACTTGGTGATGTTCCTTATCAGCCTCTTTCCCAACCAATGCAATACCATACAGAAGATATGGTAGCTTTCTTGTCCTTTCCTTTACAAAGGAATACCTTACATGCATTTTGATTGTGCATGGAGATAAGAATGATGTCATCTAAAGTTCTGAATGGGACCTAAGTCATCTGTTCAGCCATGAAGCTGCAAGACTGATTCTAAATTAAGCAGAATCGGACAACTGCCTCAGATGGCACATCTGGAGAAGCTGCAGAATAACAAACTGCATTTCCTAAACCAGGGGTAGGCAACTTTGGCTCTTTTATGACTTGTGGACTTCACTTTCCAGACTGAATTCTTATGGCTCTCTGTGTGATTCTGTTTGTAATGGTTATGAAATGTTAAAATGCCCAAATTCATGTGGTCCAGTATCATGAAAACCGTTTTTGCTAAGTTACTATCTAATGCTGTTTGAAGCAACAATATAAAAATCTTACATCTCCTTCACAAAAAAGGAACCGAAGTAAATGCAACTGCTCTTCCATGCTTGTGTTCAGAACATGTTATATGCTCTTTAAGATTCTGTTATTCTGCCTCAGAAGAATAAAGTAGCATTCCTGGGGATTCTGCTTCCCATCTCCTGACTTGACATCAATCTTGAGAACCTGCCCAAAGTTCTCTTTGTCTTATCTTATACTAAACAAAACCAAGATGAGGTCATTATGAGTTTCTTTTTCATGCTTCTCTCTTTCTTGGGGCTGAGTAGAATCTTTTCTGCAAGCCCCCCCTCCATTTAACCAAGCACATTAAATCAGAATATTTCAAGGCTAACTCAAAACCAAAAGTGCTCTATGAAAGAGATCAGGCTCTTTTAGTATTTTCTTAAATGAGATGGGGGAGCAGGGCTGAGGCAGACCAATTTCACTGGAAAGCTGTTCTGAAGAGCTGGGGTTGCTGCTACTGAGAAGTAGCACCTGAGGCTTACATTGTGGAAGTCATAAATTATCAAATGTTTCCAGCAGTCCTTATTTACAGGTCAAAACCAGTCCTGAAACCGTACCCAGAAACTGATCAGAAGCTGTGCTAAGGCCTGAAAAACAGATGTAATGTGCTTCCCATGACAGGTGCATGACACAGAGGTCACTACATCCCAGTGGTCTCTAAAGATAGTCCCATGTTATCATCCTCCTAACTATACCTCTGTTATATATTCAAGATGGACAATATTTAATATTTATTTGCTATGTATATGTAAGGATGTGGGTCTATACATATGTTGTTCATAGTATGTTTAGGTGTGTGTCATGTATGTGTTTCACTTTGAGAGCGGGCAACTAAATTTCATTTTTGATGTGTGCCATTGTGCCCACAGTACAAAAATGGCAATAAATGTTATCTGATCTATCTTAAGTACAACAAGATTATTGTAAGGCTACATTAAGCGACTCTTGCAAGTCTGAAAGTACAAATCTCACACAGTCTCTTTTTAACTGCTGGATTAGTTAGGGAGGATCTTTTGTAAGTTTCTTTCTCTGTCCTGACTCAGTCGTGGGCTTCTCCCACTCTTTTCTGATTGTTCCTCAGGCAGCATTTCTTCCCCCTCCCCTCTTCCAAGGTCTTTCATACATTCTATTATATAAATGGAGTACATTGCAGTAATCTAGTTAGGGTGGCAATAAAGGCGTGAATTATTATTGCGTTATTATTGATGGCTCAGTGGTTAAAGATGCTGAGCTTGTCAGCTGGAAAACTGATAGCCCAGTTTAAGACCCGAGTGCTATGCAACAGGATGAGCTCTTGTCCTTGCCCCAGCTCCTGCTCACCTAGCAGTTTGAAAGTATGCAAATGCAAGTAGATAAATAGGTACCACTTCAGTGGGAGGGTAACACGTTCTGTGTGCCTGGATGTATAGTCATGCTGACCACATGACCACAGAAGTGTCTAGCTTCCTCAGCTAAAAAAGGAAGATGAATACTGTCCCCTAGAGTCGGACACAACTGGACAGGGGGAATCCTTTACCTTTATTATTGCAGAGGTCCGCTTATTTCCTAGTGCTGTGGCTTTGAGCATAATGTGCCTGTTTTGTGCACCAGAAATTTACTTTCAATATGTTTCTGGAAGTGGAAGTTCTAAGTACTTGCTTGGACTCATTATGCCTTAACTCTTGATACCAATATTAAGATTAATATTAAGATAACCTTGTAATATTTTTACTGTGGGCACAACAGCACACATCAAAAAATGAAATTTAGTTGCCCACTCTCAAAGCGAAACACATACATGACACACACCTAAACATACTATGTACAACATATGTATAGACCCACACCCCTACATATATGTAGCAAATAAATATTAAATATTGTCCATCTTGAATATATAATGGAAGGAGGAAGCTTGAGAGTTCACAAGGTTAATGCTGTATGGAATGAAACTATGGCTGAATCTGGATGTTCTGCTACAGATACCACGAAGCCTCCTCCCAGAAGATAACATATACCAGTATCTCCAAGACAGCTTGTCTAGATACCATATCCTGGGAAAAATGTCAAGCAGTATCCCATCTTTGTAACAAGATCAGAGTCGAGGCCAGAAAATGTTGCTTTTTGGTAAGGATCCACTATGCCTCTCTCCTAAAATTGAGATTGGTTGCTTTGGTAATGTAGCCTGGAAACTAGTAAAAATCAAATTTTCCCAGAGGGCCTTTGAAGTGATTGTCACCACTATATTAGTCACTGTTATATATTGTTTAAGCTGGGTTTCGTAGTTCATTTTTGTTTCATGGGTATGTGAGATTTCATTAGGGTTGTTACAATGGATGTCTTCATTTTTTATTCTCTTTTTGAGAGCTGCTGGGAGCCTGGGAGAATCCAGCAGCATACTAATCCCATGAATAAATAATTACTAATCTGGCAATTTATGCCCCACCATCATCTCTGCTGTACTGTGGTTACCAAAATTCCTTCATTCCTCCTACTTCAAACAGAAAGAAATGAAGTTAAAAACTCAGAATATCTGGTACTGCATGCCAGCTTAGCCTCTGGAAAGGAATTTAAAGCTAACTGTAAGAAAGCTATGAAAGGAGAGGTTTGGACGATAGATAACATAGTCCAGAGTCTGAAGAAGCACAAGAAAGAATTTTAAAATAATTCTGCTTTGACTTTGTTTGCTGTAAGTTGGGATACTAAGATATTAGCTTCTGATCAAATTCCTAAAACCAAAGTACAGGTAGTCCTCGACTTATAACAGTTCGGTTAGTGACTGTTTGAAGTTACAATGGCACTGATCATTTTTCACACTTATGACCACCAGCAGCATCTGCGTGGTCACATGAATTACATTCAGATGCTTGACAACTGACTCACATTTGTGACGTTTGCAGTTGCAGCATCCGCATGGTCACGCAATCCCCTTTGGTGACTTTCTGACAAGCAAAGTAAATGGGGAAGGCAGATTCACTTAACTGTGTTACTAATTTAACAAGTGCAGGGATTCACTTAAAAAATGTGGCAAGAAAAGTCATAAAATGGGGCAAAACTCACTTAATAAATTTCTCACTTAGCAACATAAATTTTGGGCTCAATTGTGGTCGTAGGTTGAGGACTAACTATACAGTAATCTATGGGAAATTGGTAGCATAAATAGTTTCATGCATTTCTTCTATGCCATCTCCTAAATGAAATCTAGAATAAATATTTTCCCTGATTTTCATGCTATTACTGAGTCTGTGGTACTTTTGATGTAAAAGGCAATCTAATATTCAGTAGAAGAGACCAAGGATTCTGCAGACTAATATTTCTATCCAGTATTGGCACTACATTAAAATCAATAATTTGACATCCAAAGAGAGATTAATACAATACAATACAGCGTTCTGCAGTAGTGAGTTCTCAATTATTACCCAGCAGTAAAGAATTCATATTAATGGGAACACTTGCCATTTGAGTCCATTATATCTTTTTCCTAATTACACTGTTGGTTTTCAAACTTCCAATTAACAAGGACCTCTTTAAAAAAATTCTTAATGCTGCCCTTTTTTTAAAAAAAGAATCAGAAGTAAGTCCCCAGTTATTATCTCAGCTCTGAGCTGAGAAACTAAATTCTTATTTTAACCAGATAATGGGATAGAAAGCACAGTACCATAGATATTTAAGTTTGTGGAGAAGATAAGAAACCATTTTTGCTGTAGAACATGGCATTTTACTATAGGACTTTAATATTATGCTAAAAGCCTGAGGCAAATGTTCATGTTAGTTTTTTCCTGGGGCAAGAATGTGCCTATGTTCCTAGGTAACTCAGCAGTTATAGCCAATTTAGTGATAGGATAATCCTTTTTGCTTGAGAAAATCAAAACATGATCCAATCTTGGAGGAAAAGCAGTATCCATATGCAATTGAAACTGGCTGTTTTTAGTTTCTCTGCTTGTGTACCCCTCTTGTAAGGGCAGAATTACTAAAATGAAAGGGAACCTCAAATACTATATAATCCTGAGGTAATATACAGGATGTTCCTGAAAAGAGCCCTGAGGAACATTTCCAGCAGCACACAAACAGAGACTTCTAAACAATTAAGATTTTTGTGTGGTGTGAAATAGTACCATCCCTACTATAATTCACCCAAAGTGAAAAGCAGCAAGGACTGTCCTGAGAAACAAGACACATTATTCTAGAAATGAAAATGGGCCAGCTAGTCATTTCATTCACTGTGCCTCACAATGCTGTTAGTGTAATCATGGTCTGCTTAATGCTCAGAAGTGATCAGTGACCAGCAGGATCAGCTCTGTTATAAGGTCATCATTCCCAGGGAGTGGAAGAAGATTCTATTTCACCTTCAGAGGATATCTTCATTTTCCCAGATGTTTCTCTTGTTGCTTGTTTTCCCTAGCTTCTATTTCACTTTTCACTATGGCAACGGAAGTGCATCACATTTCTCTTAGTTTTCTTATTTATTATTATTTATAAAATATGTATCTGGAATTTTCATTGCTTTGTGAAGTGTGGGAGAGACAGCGTCAGCTATACATTCCCTGAGATGTGGATTTTCCAGAGAATTTTGAACTGGATTTTTTTCCCCCTGTGCAAATTGAGCATAATTCCAATTAACACATTTACCTCAATATCCAGTATACACAAATATCTGAGCTACATTGTTTGATGTGAAGAAAAAAAAATAGCCTTTTTTCAGAGGTTTGAAATTTATGTACAAAGAAACCAAAATTTTTGATATGAGGAGAATAATTATTTTAATTATTAGAAACATTGCTGGACAATAGTCAATAAATTAATATGAAATTGCAGTGTATTTTTAGCATCACAATGGTTAGAACAATGGCCTTCACCCCTAAAAATAATAATCATCACCCAACTAATACCAGATGCTCAGGAGTCCAGTTCTAATGGGGACCAGAACAAAGACAAAACTCAAAGTAATGTAAAATCCTTCAAGCCAAATTTAAAATTGAAGAAACGAAGAAATGACATTGGGACATCAATTTTTCTGAATAATCTGTTTGCTTGTGAAATGACTACACTGCTAAAATTAGGATCAATTCCCACTGGAATACAGTGAATAATATCTACAATAAAATAATCGAAAAGAACCATTCAATTAATGATATCTTAA